CTGACTGCACACAGGGGTCCCTGCTCGGGATGCAGCAGTTGCTGATGTGGGGAAACACTTCCAGCATTACCAGCAGCACCTCCTGGTGCCTGGACAAGAGGGGAGCATAACACCACTACTGTAACAACAGCATAATACCCAATTCCTTTGCACTGCAGGGCTGTTTGGTCTTGAGAGCTCCCAGGAGACACTGTGTTTGCTAGTAGTCCAGCATTTTATACAGCACATCTTCCAAAAGATTCCCAAGCCATTCCAAAACTGGGAATCACTCCACCTCCCACAAGAACGCAGCCAACCCCAGGGGTAGGATGTGGTAGCTCTTCAAAAGCAGAAATGCTGGGAACAAGGAGAGAAGGCTCTGCAGCTGAAGTTGTAAAAGGAACATCAGGAACTGACCCAGGTAAGGGTTCCTCCAGGCTCACCAGGTTAACCCCACCAACACCAACGGGCTGCTCAGCCAGGCTGATTTAGGACTTGGGGTTTGCATTTTATGCAAGGAAGAGGGAATTCTGGTCCACCTTCCCTGTACATCACCCTCCACTGGACAGACCCAGTGCCACCACAGACAGCCAGGACACATCCACTGTTTATCACCTGGCGGAATAATACCCTGTTTGCTGGCAAATCCATCGAAAGGGAGTTAGAAGGAAAATCAATAGATGTGTTTTCCTGAGAATTTCTCTTGCACTGAGGTATTGTCAGTACAGTCACCACCAGGTCTACGAGAGCCTGGATAGATTTAGTGCTGCCCACTGTTAGTGATGGGCAAACACTGCTGGGAGGAAGAAGGGAGTCAGCAGTGCCTCTCTGTCACATGCATCCACGTGTGTGAGAAGGATAGGATAGGACAAGAGGGAATGGCTGACAGGAGGACACATTCAGATTAGATGTTAGGAAGAAATTCGTCCCTGTGAGGGTGGTGAGTGGCACAAGTTGCCCAGAGAAGCTGTGGTTGCCCCCAGAAGTGTCCAAGGCCAGGTTGGACAGGGCTTGGAGCAACCTGGGCTAGTGGAAGGTGTCCCTGCCCATGGCAGGGGGGTGGAATGAGATGAGCTTTAAGGTCCCTTCCATCCCAAACCACTCCCTGATTCCTTTAGGCACAGCATCAGCCCCTGCTGCTGGGACCTCCAAGCAGCCACCCACACCCACATCCCGGGGCTCACACGTGGGCAAGGACGGGCTCCCCAGGGAACCACTACCCAACTTTTGGGACACGCAGCCATCCCACGGCACGGCATCCCACGTGGGAATGACATCCCCCGGGCGAAGGCAGGGGCTCAGCGTGGCCGGGGGGATGCAGGATGCGAGCGCAGACCCCACAGCGCGCAGCCCGCGGGATCCTCCGCCGGGAGGGGGGGGACGCGGGGTCCCGGTGGCGGCGGGGCAGCCGTGTCCGTGGCGGTCCGTGAGGCCCTGCTGCCCTCTCGTGGCACCGCGGCAGGACCGCGCTGAGATCCCGGGATGCGGCACATCATCCCGGCACATCATCCCGGCATCGCCTCCCTGCCGCCCGCACCCCGCGGCCGCTCCGCCGGGACGCCTCGGGATCTCGTTCCTTCCATCCTCATCCCATCCATCCACGCCTCGGGAAGAGGAGTGTGCTGCCCGATTGTACAACGTCCCCGAGTCACAACACTGGATACAACCTCCTGAGCCTGAGGGTTTGTGACCCCTTTTCATCTCCTGCTTACAGAATGTTAAGGGGTTGAAATGGACCTGAAGGATCATCTTGAAGTCCCAACCTCCCTGCCATGGGCAGGGACACCTTCCACCAGCCCAGGTTGCTCTAAGCCTTGTCTAACCTTGGACACTTCCAGGGATGAAGCATCAACAACTTCTCTGGGCAACCTGTGCCAGGGCCTCAAGACCCTCACAGGGAAAAATTTCTTCCTAATATCCAACCTAAATTTCCCTTCTTTCAATTTGTTTCCATTACTCCTTTTTCTATCTCTACAGCTCCTGAGGAAGAGTCCCCTCGTGTCCACACTGCCAGCTTGCCCCTGCCCTGCTGCACACCCCTCTTTCCCTGATGATGCTGTGCCCACTGCTCACAGCCAATTAATCAAACTCAATTAAACACAGAGCCCTGTGCCCCGACACCCAGCACCAAGGATTGGCCAGGGAGCCACACCACAATGCTCCCAAGGCCCCCCCTGACTTTCACTGCAGACCCTCAGCCCTCGGGATGATCCCAAAGGTACCAGCAGGGAGCATCTGTAAGCAGATCATCCTGGCTCCCCACAGGCTGGATAGCCAGGATCTCACCTCATCTTCAGCTGAGACATTTACACACTTGCAACCCTCAAGTTTTTAAGAAAAAAAATGCCAGAAGAGCTTTTAGAGATCTCTGATAAACCTTTCTAAAAGGGAGCGGTGCAGGCATCCCCTATGACATTGCTTTGTCAAAGGAACTGGCTCTGCTGACCCTGCAGTTTCCCCACTGCCTGCAGTGGCTCTCAGGAAGAGCAACCAAAGCCCTGCCCTGCTCATCTGACCTCTGGCAGCCTCTCAGTGCTCACCCCACTGCCTCTGAGACACTGCAGTCCCTCAAGGATGGCTCCATGACCCCCCAAATCACCCCCCACGACAGCTGGTTCCCTCCCTGTTCCAACACACCCACATGTCCCTTTCCCATGGGATGGCTGAGATCTTCCCAAGCCTGCCTGATGGCTGGCTGGCTACTGGTGTGGGGCAGCCCCTCGAGGTCCCAGCCTGGATGGCCTTCCCACCCTTCACTGTCACGGCACAAGGTCCCCACACCCCAACATGCTGAGTTACATCACTGACTCATCATTAGGATCCCTAATCAAATGCAGAGAGTCCTTTGTTTTCTCCCCAGAATGCACTGAAAGATTATTTCCTATTCCTACCGTTGTTTTTTCCTCACACTGCTCACTTTCAGGTGTGGGTGGCCTCACAAAATCTGTCAGACCAACCTGGTTCAGTGTTTACATCCTCTTTTATTCACTGGAAAATACATCAGGGGCTGAGAGAACATTTCCCTGGGGAGGCCAGAAGCCAGGAGTGAACCCTGTGTCCCCTCCCTGGGCACAGCAACACCTCCAGGGAACCACTGGTGCTTGAAACAGGGGAACTGTAAAATCTCACTCATTTTCTTCTGCAACCCTGGTCAGGCTTTGCATCTGCTCCACTGCCTCTGAGCGCATCCCCTGCCCACATTTGCTGATCCCTACTGGTCATCATTGCTGCTGGGATGTAAGTCCCTTCCAAGTGAACTATTCTATTCTAAATAAAGTAGAAAAAACCCCACCAAGAACAGGAGGTGGCAAGGCTTGCTGCATTATGCAAGTTGCTTTCTTCAGAGCTGGCTGGAGCGGGTGAACAGTGGAAAAGCGCTGCAGGCAGAGAGGCCACATGCAGGGTTTTTGGGAAATGGTTAAACCAAGGATTTGCCTCCTTCTCCAGGCAGTGAATTCCTCTGAGTCTGGGCCTCCACCTGCACATCTGATCACGGGACAGTGCCTGGATGCCACTGGGAGCAGTGGTGCTGCCGGTGTGTGAAGGACACGGTGCCCCTGCACCTGCCTGGGGTTCTCCCTGCTCCCACAGAGGAAACCCCAAGCCATCCCATTCCCTGTCCTGCTGTGCAGCCCCACGGGGTCACAGTGAAAGGGGTGTCCCTCTGCCATCTGCAAAGCGGGATCACAACAGCTGAGCAAAAACGGAGCTGGAATGGAATCGATGTCAGTGTCTCCAAGACTTGCAGGGTTCCCTTCCAACTCTGCATATTTTAGGATTCTATGAAACACCAGTCAGAGCACAGCCATGATCCAGAGACCAAAACCTGCATCTGGGTACCACTGCCAGCCTGCAAAGCCTGACAGGCAGAGGGGTCAGAAATAAAGGCTGGGGGGATGAGGAGGAGAAGGAGCGATGAGGCAGGAGGGAAATGGCTAATCCATGATTAATGACTGGTGATCAGCCCTGTGCAGGTGTAGCAGAGCTGCCATCCTTTAGTAACTCCCAGGAAAGAGCAGGAGAGGGGAATGACGAGGCAACACAAGCTCTTTTGGGATCGAGGGTGAACCCTTTAACTGGCTGGTTCCTCACAAACTGGTGCAGAATTGGGGGACTCCATAAGGATGATTAAAATCAGCCAGGCTGTGCCCTGAGCAAGGCCCTGCCCAAGCACCTGCAGCTGCCCCTGCATTCACTGTGGACACCCCAGAGCATCACCCTGCCAACTGCTTGCAGCTGCTGTTCTGAACCCCAAAAAAGTCCTTTCTGTCCTGGAGTCCATGGGTTGCTCCAGCACAAGGTACGGAATGAGAAAAACACACCTTTTCAATAGATGATGAAGAATGCATCAAACGCTCAGGACGCTGCTGGGGGAAAGGAAGGGGAATGGAAGGGAAAAGGGAAAAAGGAAAGGAAGAGAAAGAAGAAAGACAAAAGGAAAGGAAAAGGGAGAAGAGAAGGAGAAAGGAATAGGGAAAAGGAATAGAGAATTAAAAAGATATAGGGAAAAGAATACAGAAGGGAAAAGAAAAGGACAAGGGAAGGGGGAAGGGGCTGCTCCCGCAGCAGCACTGCCCGACCAGGCAAAGGGCAGCGCTCAACCCGCGCGTTCCAAACCAGCACACACTAAACCGAGAAAAAACGAAGCCAACACGTTTCCGCTCCCCTTCTTTTCAACGCCAACCTTCCCCGACAGCAGCACCCGCAGCACAGGCTCCCACCCCGCGATCCCCGCACCGCCCCCGCCGCCATTCCCGCTCCCCCCACCCCGCTCGGGGACTACATCTCCCAGCAGCCCCCGCGGCGGCGGGCGCGGCGCTCACGCGGGCGCGCGGGGCACGCCGGGAGCGGCGCGGCCCGGGCGGCGGCAGGTGAGGGCAGGGGCGCGCGCGCGCCCTGGGGCCGGGGCGCCCCCTGCGGGCGGGGCCGGGCACGGCGGGACCCCCGGGACGGGAACGGGAATGGGAGCGGGAATGGGAATGGGAGCGGGAATGGGAATGGGAGCGGGAATGGGAATGGGACAGCACGGACGGGATGGGCCCCGCCGGGTGGTGGGCGCTTGGCATGGAGGGACGGGGAGAAAGGAGAGCGGGGTCCGCCCCGCCGAGCCCCCCCCTCGGGCACCCGGAGAGGGGCTGGCAGCGGATCCCCATTGATCGCCCCGCGGGATCGCCCGGTGCGCCCACACAGAGCCCGGGCGTGTGCCCCGAGCACGGCGTGGCCAGGCACCGGCACGGGTCACCCCCGTGGATGCGCCATCCCTGGCAGCGCCCAAACCAGGCTGGACGAGGCTTGGAGCCACCCGGCCCGCGGGGAAGGTGTCCCTGCCCGCGGCAGGCGGCGGAACGCGGTGATCTTTAAGGTCCCTCCCAACCCCAAAGCCGGGGGTTCCTCCCCACCCAGACCTCTGCGTTGTCTGTGCAATACCCGCACCCAGGGGCTGTCCCGCGGGGTTTGCTGTTGGTGCTGTTGTTGTTTTTGCTGTTGTTATTGTTCTGACAGCTCCTGTCAGCAGCGCTACCCCGTTATTTTCACCCGTTCACGGCACCAGCCCTTGAGCTGCGAGCGGAGCCGGCCGCCTGGCCGCTGAGAACTACCAAACCACGGCAGGAAATTTGAGCACAAGGAAACCAAACCGGCATAATTCGCCGAGTTTTTACAGCCTGATCCTCAGCTGAGGCTTTCTGTAATGCCCTGCTCTGCGTCAGGGGCACTGCCTCGGGAGGGACCGATACGCAAGAACAACTCGCTGTTAAGGAAACTTCCATGCGGGCACAGCCGAGTTCGAGAGGGAGATAAAGGGAGAAATAATGTCACGTTACCGAGGGCACGCTGGCATTCCAACAAAAGGGGGTTATGTATGAAAAGGATATTGTACAGATCACCTGTCTAAAAAGCCCAGCCTGACTTAAAATCCCCTCCGCCACTGTTCTTTAATGAAAATACTAGTTTTAAAGGTACCTTTCAATGTAACTTGCAGCACCTGGTGCCTGTGCTGCTCCCTCGCCCTTCCCTAAGCGAGCCTTTTGACGTGTTTCCAAGGAAAGTAGGAATAATGAGCCTGGTATCCTGTGTTTCATTTTTAAAAACCGTTCTAAAATACAGAATTTTTAATCCCTCAAAGGAAGGTTTCTGTTCTCCGTGGCAGTGCCCAGGCTTCTGCCTCCCCAGCTGTGATATGTGTGAAGACAAAAAGGGAAGCGTGCTCCGTGCCAGTGGCAGGAAGTGCCTGGAGTCCCCCTGCTCCCAGATGCCAGGGATACTCATCCTGCCACCACTGAGGATCAGATCCCAGCTTGGTGTTTGCAGATTCTGCTACACCACTGAGTCCTTCCCTGAAATACGGGCTTTGAAGGGCTGCAGCTGATAATTTGAAATAACTTTTTCCTTCTCTGTATGAACATAAAGAAATGTTGTTTGTTGCAGTTGTTTTCTTGCACGTTAGCGAGTGGTAAACTGAAATACACTGAAGCTTTCCCGAGGAGGAAGGAGGCAAACCCAGCAGGGAAGCAAGAATGCTGTGTGCATTGAGCCATTACTCAGAAAAAGCTGTCTGTTCACATCCCTCTGCCGCCCTCTCTTCATTTCAAAGACTAACTACTTCCTTCTCCTCCTCTCCCCTAGAAAAAAGGTTTTCTTCCCTATTTTTTAGTGGCAAGGCAATGCAATAGCAAAGGTATTGAAACCCAGTCTACTGAATAATAACTTAATGATGTGAGCCCTGTTCTGTTCCTTTTGAATGGATGGCTGCTTTGGCAGGAGAGCTGCTGGGATCTGCTCCCTGCTGGGAGGGATGGGAGGGTGGAGAAACCTGGATTGAAGCTGAACAGCAACCAGAGTGGTGTAAAACTGAACCGGGAGACAGGAATGAGGTCAACGCTGCAAGACTGTGAAATGAGGAGAAATTACATGCAGTTAAAGCTGAGTTCAGGGACTGACAGTGAGCACTGGTAGGATGTTTGGAGTTTGGATGTTTGTAGTTGTCTTTCAGCTCCGTTATGCTCATATCTGCCCAAGGTAAACACAAAGTGTTTAACTGGCATGGTGAAACGTGGTGCAGCACGGCAGAGGTCAGTGAAATGCACTGGCATCAAACCTCCTCTGTGTATTTTCAATGTGAGCAGTCACCCCCCAGAAGGAGTGGAAGCTGACGAAGCATTCCTGCTATTTTCACTTCCTGGCAAATGCATGAAACTTTGAGCATTTATTTTGGCTCTCCAGCAAAGCAGAGCGAACCAACCACGTTTATTTCGTTCGTATCTGATGTCACATCTGAATGCAGGTCTCCAGAGGTGATCTATTAATGTCCTAAAGCATCGCACCATCTGGTTCCTCTTTTGATGCGCAACATTTTGAATGCTTGGTTTAATCTCCCTGGGTTTCAGTAAATTATGTAAACTCGGAGGCTTGGCAGCGGGAGATGGGCACCGTGAGGAGATGATTCAGTCATCAATATCTATTGGGCTTCCTTATTGCTGCCATTACACTTCTTTCAGTTGCTACTTACAAATGTTGCAAGTGAATAATTCATCGCACTGGGAGCTGCAAGTTAGTTTTGAAATTTGCCCACTCCGAGATTAGCTATGACTAATCCATCCTTCCCAGTCGTGGAAAAGCTAACTGGGTTTCTTTTCTGCAGGGTTGGGTGATAAAAGTCAGAAATAAATTGCTTGTATATGCAACTGCTGGTGCTGACATAAATCACATTTCCTTTTTTTATTCTTCCTGGACAGAATTGGAGCACCTTGGAATAGATGTGAGCACAAGACACGGCGCCGGCTGGAGCTGCCCGGGAACACCATGGCTGCCGCCCCTCACCTCAACTCGGACGCGCTCCGAGAGGTCCTGGAGTGCCCCATTTGCATGGAGTCCTTCACCGAGGAGCACCTGAGGCCCAAGCTCCTGCACTGCGGGCACACCATCTGCAAGCAGTGCCTGGAGAAGCTCCTGGCAAACAGCATTAACGGGATACGGTGCCCGTTCTGCAGCAAGATCACGCGGATCACGAGCCTGGCTCAGCTGACTGACAACCTCACGGTGCTCAAGATCATCGACACCGCTGGACTGGGGGAGGTGGTGGGTCTCCTCATGTGCAAGGTCTGCGGGAGGAGGTTGCCGAGGCACTTTTGCAAGAGCTGCAGCTTGGTTTTATGTGAGCCCTGCAAGGAGGCTTCGCACCTGCCCCAAGGGCACAGAGTCACTGCTATCAAAGAGGCTGCTGAAGAGCGTAGGAGGGAATTTGGGACGAGGCTTGCCAGGCTAAGGGAGCTCATGGGTGATCTTCAGAAAAGAAAAGCTGCTCTGGAGGGTGTTTCCAGAGACCTGCAATCCAGGTACAAAGCAGTGCTGCAAGAGTACAGCAAAGAGGAGCGCAAGATCCAGGAGGAACTGGCCAGGTCACGCAAGTTCTTCACCACTTCTTTGTCTGAAGTGGAGAAGGTAAATAACCAGGTAATGGAGGAGCAAGCCTACCTGCTGAACTTAGCAGAAGTGCAGATAATGTCCCGCTGTGACTACTTCCTTGCCAAAATAAAGCAGGGGGATATAGCTCTCCTGGAGGAGGCGGCAGACGAGGAGGAACCAGAACTGACAAACAGTCTCCCAAGGGAGCTGACTCTGCAAGAGGTGGAACTCCTGAAGGTGAGCCACGTGGGACCACTGCAGATCGGGCAGGTGGTGAAGAAGCCTCGATCCGTTAACGTGGAGGAATCGCTCCTGGAAACTGCAGCATCCTCGTCGGTGTCGTTTAGGGAGCCTGACCTGGTGCAGGAAGAGCCCAGCTGCACTCCCCATTCCTCACCAGCCAAGCCAAGGATTCCCGAAGCAGCCACGAGCATCCAGCAGTGTCACTTCATCAAGAAGATGGGCTCCAAGGGCAGCCTGCCAGGCATGTTCAACCTCCCCGTCAGCCTGCACGTCACCACGCAAGGCGAGGTGCTCGTGGCAGACCGGGGCAACTTCCGAATCCAGGTTTTTACCCGCAAGGGCTTCCTGAAGGAGATCCGCCGGAGCCCCAGCGGGATCGACAGCTTCGTGCTGAGTTTCCTCGGGGCAGACTTGCCCAATTTGACTCCCCTCTCTGTCACCATGAACTGCCACGGCCTGATCGGGGTGACAGACAGCTATGATAACTCCGTCAAGGTGTACACCATGGACGGGCACTGCGTGGCCTGCCACCGGAGCCAGCTGAGCAAGCCCTGGGGCATCGCCGCACTGCCCTCGGGGCAGTTCGTGGTGACCGACGTGGAAGGGGGGAAGCTCTGGTGCTTCACGGTGGACCGTGGCGTGGGGGTGGTGAAGTACAGCTGCCTGTGTAGCGCGGTGCGCCCCAAGTTCGTCACCTGCGACGCCGAAGGGACCATTTACTTCACTCAGGGGCTGGGGCTCAACCTGGAGAACCGGCAGTACGAGCACCATCTGGAAGGAGGCTTTTCCATCGGCTCCGTCGGCCCCGACGGGCAGCTGGGGCGGCAGATCAGCCACTTCTTCTCGGAGAACGAGGACTTCAGGTGCATTGCTGGGATGTGTGTCGATGCCAGGGGAGACCTCATTGTTGCTGACAGCAGCCGTAAAGAAATCCTGCATTTCCCTAAGGGAGGCGGCTATAACATCCTGATCCGGGAAGGGCTCACCTGCCCGGTCGGTATTGCCATTACTCCCAAAGGGCAGCTCCTGGTGCTGGACTGTTGGGATCACTGCATTAAGATCTACAGTTACCACCTGAGAAGATACTCCACCCCTTAAAAGTCATGGCTGTAAGCGAAGCCTCTCCTGGCAGCAGGCATTCTTCCAGCCTCCCTGCAATCCGACGGGAACAAGTGTCAAGCCTTCAGGAAGACTGTGCCATAACCGAAGGGGATCTGGCATAGAGGCCATCATGTTTTGTGTTTAGAAACAAAGTAGCTTTTGTGGTGGTGGTGGTGGTGGTCTGCTTTTTCTTCTTCTTTTTTTTATATAAAATCCATACAAATAAGAACAAGCTTGAGGGAAGGGATCCATCCTTTGGGAGCGTTGGTTCCTTGCTAAGTGACTGGTCACTCCAGACACCTTCTCACCTCCTTACGCCACATCTCCCCTCCCAGCTTTTAACCATTGTGTCTTTCTTTGTGCCATAAAAGATGAGTGACTGCTCTAAATCACCTTTCCTTACAGAACTAGCAAGGCAATCCTCCTCTCTCTCTGTGGTACTCACAAGGAACTGGGTAGCAGTTGTCTGGGCAACTCCTAGAGAGAGCAATTTGGGATTGCATAAAATGAAATGGCCCTCGTCAGCCACACGGAGATGGAGCTTTACTCCCACCCTGACAAGGGACAGTTGTCTCTCTCCCGTTTTTCTGGTGTTCAGGAGATCACCCCGTCGTGCCATTTGTGAGCTGAGTCTGTTCCATGTGAAGTGAGTACTGTGCAATCGTGGGAGACCAAGCTGAGCCAGAAAACTGCCCTCTTTATTACTGAGTAGTAAGAAAACAGGGGTTTTATTACTACTCAGAGTCCTGCTAGGTAGAAGGGGGTAAAAAGGGAGGGGGTTGAAGGAAAAAAAAACCTGAGGGGAAACCTAGGGTTGCTATTTACTGCTGTTTTATTATTAAATGTATCCTGGAAACTGTCTTTGGAAGGTGTACCTGGTATCTAAAATTTCCTGGGGAGGGGGGAAGGGCTGGGGGAATGAAACTGGGAGATTGTATAAAATGAGATTAAATGCAACATGTTGTATGTTCACCTGCACTTCACTGCTCTGCATTCCAGACCATTGCATTTAGCAAGAGGTTTCCACTCATCTGCATCTCCTATGTGCAAGTTACTCACTGCTGAGATAGGGATGGGGAGGGGGGGACTATTTCACTTTTAATTTTTTCATACTTGGAAGCACATCCATTGATGCACTGCCTTTTTTTTTTCCCTTGCACAGCAAAACACTACATTCCTCAGATTTTTTTTTTTTTTTTTTTACGGCACCAGCAGGCACCAGAGTTGCTGTTCATCACGGCTTTGGGCCAAATGAAACACAAAACTGCAGCTGTGTGAACCAAGGCCCCCACAGTGCTACTCTCCTGGCTGATAAATGTGTACCTCAGTGTGGTGCTGCTCGCCCAGAATAGTTTATTGAAGGAAAGATGCATTTAAATAGGGCACAGTGGTAGCATGTTAATCTGCCACAGATAATAGTTACACTGCAGTGCATTTATTTGTTGCTATCAACAACGTAGTTGCAAATTTGGGGGCACGGCAGACAATATAAAAGCTGATTTTATGGTGGCTGCCGTGCTCCAGCAAATTGTTTGCTGCTTGTCCTACAACGTTTGCAACAGGTGAATTTTTTCTTTTTTTTAAGCTCCCATATAGTCTCCCCTAAGGAAACAGCAAAATGAAACAGGCTTCTGAGCTGCTGCTGCTCCAGATGGGTGTTTGGCAGTTACAGGCTTTGCAGAAGAAGCGCTGGGAGCAGATTTTGGTGGGATTTTCGGGTTTTATTCCTCTTCCTGTTGTGCTCAGCCAGAGCGCTGAAGGGGCCAGCACACAAACACAGCTGTGTGGTGGAGCTGCCCCTCCAATCAGGGCAACTTCTGATTCCTCTTGCTATAATGCACTGGAAAAAGCTTGTGGAGAAGGGAGCTGAGACAGGAGGTGGTAGATGGTGCTGAGGGAGCCCAAGGGACTGAACCCCCTTCCCTCCTGAGCTGCTCTTTGTGTTTGCCAAGGCTGCCAACTTGCACATCACTATTTACACTCCCTGCTTCTCTTTTTTTGGGTGGGAAGGGGGGCACGTGACAGCAACCTGGGGAGCCCTTCTCACCTTGCATGTGTGTTTTGGGGAGATGAGGACCATTAATGGGCCGTGCTGCAGTTAATGACATTGTAACTGAAGGCGTTTTCCCAGCATCATGGCAATGGCAGTTCCTCTCCTTCTGATGTGTTTTAAACATTTCTCCTGCTTCCAAGAACTGCTCCAAGCAGGAAGCTACTGTGGACCTGAATAACTGAAGCAATATTATCTATGATAATATGTACCTCTGTCATTTTCTGTTCCCATGGATATTTTTTTTTGCAATAAACAGCACACTGTACTAGCAATAACATTTCCTGGAGTGCTTGAAGGGACATAAAAACTGGTCCAGCAAACTGAGCAGTTGGTTACCCCAGCCTGTTCCTGGTTACAGAGTTCAAACAAAGCATCTGTCATCTGTTTCTCACTCGAAGAATTAAGGAAAATAAAAATACCCTGCGATTCACTGGTGGGCCAGGACACTGCAATCGACGCCCGGGGCTGTGTCTCGCCTGCAGCTCTTCTAGTCTGGGCTTTCAGGCACAAAAGGGGAAAAGAAAACCTGCTGTCCCTGCCCAGGGTCTGCATGTCCCCTGACAAAACTCGACAGTGACTGTGAGATGATTTTACAGAGCCCTGTTTTTTGCTGTGGTGCCCCCACACAGTGTTGTGATCGTCTGCCAAACAAGGAGTAATTAAGGATTGTGTTGAAATAGTTGGCTCCTGTACCTGTACCTGGAGAAAGAGCTTGTCTGGTCATACGTATGTGTTTGGTTTTTAAAGATTGTGTAATAAAGGAAAAATTGATCCAATTAAAAGTGCATTGCAAACGGCTCATTTTCTTATTAAAACACTGCATCTCCTCCCCTTGGTGGCAGATTGGATTTTACAGCCAGTGGGGATTAGACTGGGAACACAAGGGCTACAGGATCCCTTTTTTCAGGTTGCACAGGATAAATCTGATCTCCCTGGCAGGAGAAGTGGTGGGGAAGTGTCAGGTAGAGTTCCCTGATCTCCTTGGCAGGAGATCAGGGAACTCTACCTGACACTTCCCTACCCACCTCATAAACAAATGCTCAGGTTTTGTAACTTAATTCACTCTGATACTCCCACAAGGGCAATATCTTCCTTGTCACCGCAGGCAGTACCTGATGTTTCAAAGGTCTGCTCCAAGTGCTGGGTAACAGGACGTGGGAGCCTGGCTGAAGGCTCCATCCCTGTGTCCCTGGCTCATCCATGAACTGCCAACCCTTTGCATGACAAAGGGCTCAGGGACCTGTGGCACAGCCAGGTGAGGGACACCCAGAGACACATCAGGAGCTGAGGGCTCAGCTGGTAGACCCCAGACTTCCCTGTGTTTAGACCACTGGGGTATAAAAGCATGGGGTTTTCTTTGTTTAGAGTCCCTCCTCGGCAGCACCAGCTCAGGCTGTTACTCTGCTGTTGCACAGTAATTAAATTATTTTAAGAATCCAGATGTCTAAGACTCTGCTCTGGGAAACTGGGGCTGAAGCAGTGAGGAAACCTGGTCTAGGTGAGTGTGGGAGGTGTAGCTGTTAAGGGGCCTCAGTCCCAGCTCAGGTGGTGGGATTGTGATGGCCAGAGAGGCTCCTGGATGGTCAGAGGACAACAGGCACATCAGCAGCACGTGCAGGTTCTCCCCTGGTCCTGCCTCCCTTCTGGGTTTGCTGCTCTTGGGTAAAGGATTTTATCCTTTGGGCTCATCCAAGATGATGGGAAGCAGCACTTTAAAAACAGGTGTGAATTGCTGGTTTATCAAACATATTCAGTCCTTGCAGAAAAGCTGCTGTGTGGTGCTGTTGGACCCACCCTGCCACTTTATCACAAGTTTTGATTTCTTTGGGTAGAAAAACTAAGCTATGGGCATTTCTGGGGGCAAAACCAGGAGTTAGGGTTCCTAAAGGGATGAGGGGGAGAGCTTGTTCCTTAATCAGAGGGGGCAGAGCTACAGAAGTAAAAATAAAGCCAGATGCTTTGAGTGGTTTGTATTGTATAGCTTAAGTGATTTTTCTGGGTCATTACTCAGTGCGAGGATTTAAAGTTATTTCATTTTGCACAACTAATTACTCGACTTGCCTGACGATTCTGGATTACAATGAGCAGTGCATAAGGTCATTTAGCAGACTGAGTCACAGCACATATTGTAGTCTAAACTAAATTTCACGGCAACCAGTTAAGATTGTTTTTACCTCCTCTGAACAAAATGTCAGAATCTGAGGGTTGGAAATAAATATAATGACATAAAGGAAGCAAGTAAGAGTGTTACAAAGGTAATAGAGTGGTTGTTTATAGGGACAGATCTCAAGAACAGGGAAATTCTATACGCTTTGCTTCTCACCAAGCAGGTATAAGGGAAACCCATTATCTCCTTTAACAGATGCAAAACTCTCCTTACAGCTTTCTTAATGCACCTAATTGTGTCTAGGAAAGGAAAACTAAAGGTTCCTGTGGACTAGTTCAATCTTAATTGTGCTAATGGCACTATCAGACCTGAAGAGAGATGAATGGAGCATTGAAAGGACAAGAGGGACCCACAGACCCTATTCAGAGGAATATGGACTATTATTTTAGCAGAGTTCCAGGCTCTATCCCTAATTTTATGAGGATATTTATGCAAATAAATATAATTTCTGAACATCTTTTGTCAAAGAGTTCACAAGAAAACATGAAAACTGTTGCCTTTTAAATGTAGATGCAATTAATGATGCGAGGTCCAAGAGAAGAGAAGCAAGTACCTAGGAGGGCAGGGGGCAGAAAGCCTTAGGGATTGTGACAGGACCTGCCAGATCACAGCCTCTCCATGGACTCTTTCCATAAATGATGTTACAAAGAGGGAACATCTTTCACATCTGTAGCAGCCACAGGCTCAGCTTGCTGAGTGCCCAGTGTGGCCAGGGAACCATAGCCAAGGAAACTCTAGATAGAGATCACAGGAAATGCAAGAAAAACAAACATTTCTTGCCCTGCAGACCTAAAGAAACGTATCTGGATCTGCTCCATCCATGCACAGCACATCCCCAACCCATCAGCATCCCTCCCCACTTCCCAGATGGGCTTCTCCACTGGGAACAAGCAAGCCAGGACAGCTCTTGGGGAAATCTCACTGGGGCTGCCAGATTTTGCAATCAGAGCAGCTCTTCCTTTTCCCTAACCACCTCCTACTCCTTATCCAGCCTGACTGAGGGGCCACAGAGTAACCAGGTCTCTGATAAACTTTTTTATCAGTGAATGAAGCTGGTTCCTAAGCAGGTGGATTTACTGGATGAAGGGATCATTCTCTTTCCTCCTGTACATTTTCTGAGTCTCTGTGGTGGGGTGACTCCCAGCCTCCACCTCCAGTTTTATTACCGAGCATGTTGGTGTGGAATAGCCCAATTTCGGCCAGCAGCCTTGGCTGTGTCCCCTCCCAACACCTTGCCCATCCCAGCCTAGTGACTGGGGCTTATCCACACTGGTTTATCCAGAAATCCAAAGCACAGCACCACGGGGGCCGCGACGAAGCAAGTCCCCTCCATCCCACCAGGCCTGGCACATTCTTGCACACAGCAGGACGTGGCTGAGGGCACCACGTGTGTCCCAGCTGCCAAACGAAGATGCTCACACAACTGGTACGAACTTAATGAGGTGCCATCAGCGGTAAATGCTGCCTTCGACGGGGGAGAAAACCGATGTGGGCTCCCGTGGCACAGATCAATGGCTGGGTCGATCGCGAGGTCCTCGCTCGGAGGCCGCTCGGTGAGTGAAAGCACTGCTTGGCTGCACAGAGCCAGAGCAAGCAGCCCCCAAAAAATGGGCTTTTAATCACTCTGCGTGAAATAAAATTGGAGTTTGCTTTGGTCTGCTCACGGACTGAGGCTGTTCCCGGGAGGGAGCCTGGGGGATGCTCCCATGCCTGCCCTGGAAGAACGCAGGGCTCGGTGTGCGCAGCCGTGACACCGAGCCTGCCTGGCTCTCTCATTTGCACGATTCACTCCTGCAAATCCTTAGGAACAAGGTGTGCTGGTTTCAGCTGGTGTTAGAGTTACTTTTCTTTGCAGTGGCCAGTACGGGGCTACGCCTTGGATTTCTGAGCCCAAACCATGACACGAGGGTGGTCACCTCATTCCGCCCAGCACACGCCTTATCCACCTGCAGGAAGGAGGGGAACATTTTGCACTCCTCTGGGCAGAGCAGCCTGCTGATGTCAGTGGTGATGGAAGCACTGACTTTGTGCTGTCCCTTTCCCCTCCACTTGGCTGAGGGAAATGCTCTGCAGACACCAGCCCACGTCACGGGCTCCTGTGCCGGCGGTGAGTGCGGCGTTTGGGCGTCTCCATCTTGCATGGAGCCAGTGCCTGATCCCAGCTGCCAGTGGCATGGTCTTCTCTTCAAAACCATGTTTTCAATTAGGGTTTCATGTGCAGATTGTGCCTTTATTGGCAGAGGCCTCCTCCTGAGGCCCGGAGATTGATTTATGAAGTTGATTAAAATATTAAAATAATTTTGTGCCATGCTGCAAACACCCTGTGATGTGCATTTTTCTCATAGTTGGTGTCATTCCAATTAGCTTGAGACTCTCTTCTCCTCCTCCTCTTGTGACCTGCTTTATTCACTAACTAATTACAGTTATCCTGGTCCTACTTTTGTATTTATTAGAGATGATGCATATGTGTGGTCGCTGAGCAGTTTGGAATGGGCTGATGAGCAGTGGGGAGCCCGGCAGGCCGGAGCTGTTCTGAGTGGAGAAGGCATCCAGAACTGTCTAGTTGGAGCTATTTATTCTGATCTGCCTTATGTCACTGGCAAAATGAGGGTGAATCAGTGGAGAAGCAGGGAATAAAATCTATCTACCGTGAATAGCAAGCTCTGTCTCTTGGCTAACTGGGATTTCTCTGTGAGAGAGCCCTGGGTTTCCTGAGATGCCTCCTATGTCCACAAGCTGATCTCCCCTGGTATCATCAAGAGCCCTGAACATCCTCGATGTCCTTCCAAGAGTATTTTGTGGCCATCAAAGAGCTAAGTATAGCACTGATCCCCTCTGCACTGCCCACAGTTCACCCTACCAGCTACCAAAGCCACAGGCGGAGTCACTCACAAAGCACAAAGTCGGAGCCAGCACCCAGTGCCCAAATGCTGCAGTCAGAAGTTAAAAGTTTATGTCCAGGCATTACATGCAGACCCCCATGGGATCCCTGTGGTCCCATGAGTGCTTTGGTGCTTCACACATAGTGGGAAGAACGCTCTGGATCCTGTCCAGGGGCAGCCCTGCGAGCAGCACAGGGCAGGCACAGCTCTGGGAGTGTGGGCAGGAGCCGGGTGTGGAGTGAGGAGCTGCCTTGGCCAGCTGCATACCATGGACTAAAATGGAAATTATCCTGTCAGCAAGGCACTGCAGGCCCTGTGCCACCACGGGGCTTTGCGGCTGAGCCCCGGGAGCCACTGCTGCCCCCAGCCACGGGGAAGGTGGGAGCTCGGGAATGGGAGATATTTCACCGCCAGATCAAGAATTGCCGCTGTTCACATCCCCTCTGGCCCAGCATCGTGAAACAGCAACAATGCTCATGCCCAGCTCCGACTGCAGCAGCTGCCTCTCATTCCCACCTGGCATCACTTGAGAAACCCGTGTGTGAAGTGATGGCGTTGGGACCACGGGGCACTCCAGGTCTGCTCCCCACCACCCGTGCTGGCCCCAGGATTGCAGGGAGCGCTCCCGAATGATTAATAACGCCGCGAGCCCGTAAACAACCCACCTCCACGGCGCTTTCTCCTGCTAAACAGGGGCATTGCTATGGCAAACTTCATTTATCACTATTTAAAACCCAAACAAACGAGT